TGTTAGGGCCTACATAAAGCTGTTCCAACAGCAGAGCTTTCATTTCAGCACCATGGAGTGAATCCTTACCACTGCTACACCTGGCTATCAGCGCAGCCTTGTCTGGCAGTGAAAACAGTTCATTCAGCCTCATTTACTGCCTTTAAAAAAAATACATAGCTGATATGGCAGACTTGCTTAAACAAATGTAGTTTCTACTGACAATTGAGATGTGCAAACTATGGCATAAGGGGACGATGAGTGGATAAGGATAAGAGGCAATCCGTAATTTGGATTAAGTCATTAATGAGCGAGCTAGGACGGGCGTAGTCAATATTTGTTCAGCACTTTTGAAATGTACAGCGACACAATTCAGAACATGGGAACAGAACACCTGAATTTTGGAGCTGCCTTACTCAAGAAAGCAAAAAAGAGACCATGTTTGTATGCAGCTTTATTAACTCAATTATTTTATTTTTTACATTGTTTGCAAACTGATATGTGACACGTATTAATGCTAAAATAACAGGCAAAACAGGCAAAAAAACAAAACATAATTTAGTTTTTTTTTTTTGCTAAACAGGTTGGGCTCAAAACAGCTGGGGCTCTGCCCCTTCTGCCCTGATGACGGGTCACCACTGAATGTGCTTAATTTTAAGAAGTTATTTGGCCACTTTAGTTGTGATACAAAACTTATCAAAGCATATAGGCCTATGGGCTAGGATACAGAAGGTGTGTGACTATGATTTGAGAAAGTCGCAAAAAAAAAGGTATGAGCTGTTTCTTGCCTTAATGCACAAGCTGGGCATCATTCACAAGTGATAATACATCATTCACAAGTGATAGGCTAATATTGTCACCCATCAGACTATTCTTAATTTAATGTTGTCTTTACATATACTAAATAATGTATGTGTGAAATGAGTTTTGATTTAGAATGGACCATTATCATGCACCACAGGGGCATGGGAAAAAAAATGCATGTCATCTATGCACTAAAAAAGCGAATGGAGGATGCTTTTCCCATGGTTCATTTTCATACCAGCCAGGTAGGCTATGTTCCTGTGTTAAAGCGAAGCAATGTGCTTAATATTAGGAAAGTTTATTAATAAAATGTAGTAGGCCTAGCCTATGTAAACCTTATGGGATCCTCCTCTTTTTAATAGAGGCCATCAAAACTCTGTTTTCTCATGCAATTGCATAGCCTATAGAAATGTTGCGCAACATGGGCTCATGGACTCTCATGAAGTGTTTGATTAGATTTGCGATTTACATTTGTATTGATGTCAGAGTGATTAGAGGGACAATAGAGTGCTGAGTACCAGGCAGTTAGCAAGTTTGGTAGGCTACTAATGACCATCAGCAGCATCAGAGCTTGGAGAAGCCTAATTACCGTGACTAAACGGTCACGTGGAATTTGACTGCCATCATGACTCGTGACCGCTGGTGTGGTGGTAATACGGTCACCATAACAGCCCGATTAGGACGTAGGCCTTAACTTGGATCCTACAACCTGCACACCTCATTGTGTTTCGAAATGAAATTGAGCAGGCCTGTCAAGGTGAAGGGGTCACCTGTGTCATTGTGTGGGACAATGTCAGGGTTCCACCATGCAGCGGTGGTTCAGTCATGGTTTCGGGCCCATCCCCGATTCTTGACCCTATACCTGCCCCCATACTCTTCTTTCGTCAACCCTATTGAGGAATTAATAATAATAATAATAATAATATGCCATTTAGCAGACGCTTTTATCCAAAGCGAGTTACAGTCATGTGCGCATATATTTTTACGTATGGGTGGTCCCGGGAATCGAACCCACTACCCTGGCGTTACAAGCGCCATGCTACAGAGGACCACAATTGTGTTCAGCATGGAGGTGGAAGGTGTACGATCGCCATCCCCATGATTGTGCCACCCTCCTTCTGGCCATCCCGCCGATGCATGAACAATGAGGACATTCACTGTGATGTGGATGAGAATTTATGGCCAAATGCTCAAGACAGTTTTAATACAAATTAATGCGTGCTAAAAGCTATGTTTTATTTTCATTCATTTAATTTGTTTAATTTAATGTTTTACATTTGATTACAGACAGTACACCTACTGTATGTTGCAATTATATCTGAAAAATGTAATGTTTTTTTTGCATGTATGATTGATTGATCACACTTTTGATTACACATTGGATAGATGTTATGGAAATTATAGATTTTCTGTCCATTTTGTTGGGTAATGTAAGTGTATTGCCTAATATGAAAACTGTGTAATCTACTGTAATTTACAGTACTGTAGTATATTACTTTCAGGACTTCTAAGGGTGATTTGAAACACGTATATTGCATTGTTTGCTATTGGATTAACTGGTAGTTAAAATGATTAAATTGAAAATATATCATTAGGTTGTGTTTTGATGATTAAACCAATGTTCTCATTACATTTCACAGTAAACGTATATTTTGAATCAATGGTATGAAAAAAATATATAATGTATGCACTCACTAACTGTAAGTCGCTCTGGATAAGAGCGTCTGCTAAATGACTAAAAATGTAAAATGTAAAAAATTATGACAGGTTTTGAATGAAAAATTGGCTGTGTTACAAGTGTGACCAGTTTGGAGTTTTGTACTAAGAGTTGTGAAAATAGTACCAAAGCGATTACAAAAAACTGTAAATTAACCTTTAGTAATCACTTTCATGATGAACTCTTTAGTCTCTTGATGTGTGGTATGTGTGTGTGTGTGGGTGGGTGTCCTGGTGACGAAGAGCTTCCTGTTTGTGTGTGTATACGTGTGTAATAAAGTGTATCATAATATTGTAGTTACCCTCTCATGAAGTAATGCTTATCTCACCAGCAGGGAACAGTAATGTCTATCTCACCAGTAGGAAACAGTAATGTCTATCTCACCAGCAGGGAACAGTAATGTATATCTCTCCAGTAGGGAACAGGAATGTCTATCTCACCAGCAGGGAACAGTAATGTATATCTCTCCAGTAGGGAACAGTAATGTCTATCTCTCCAATAGGGAACAGTAATGTCTATCTCACCAGTAGGGAACAGTAATGTCTATCTCACCAGCAGGGAGCAGTATCACCCATCTCTCCAGCAGATGGCAGTGATATCCCAGTATGACCTACAGTTATACATCAACACATACAGTACTACATTTACATTTTAGTCATTTAGCAGACGCTCTTATCCAGAGCGACTTACAGTTAGTGAATACATATTTTTTTATACTGGCCCCCCGTGGGAATCGAACCCACAACCCTGGCGTTGCAAACGCCATGCTCTATCAACTGAGCTACATCCCTGCCGGCCATTCCCTCCCCTACCCTGGACGACGCTGGGCCAAATGTGTGTCGCCCATGAGTCTCCCGGTTGCGGCCGGCTGCGACAGAGCCTGGATTCGAACCAGGATCTCTAGTGGCACAGTTAGAGACCACTGCGCCACTCAGGAGTACATACTATACCATACTGGACTTATAAACCATTCCAGGTTCCTAACCTGAACCAGAAGGTACAGTATTTAAACAAAATATGATCAGTGCAGCACACAAACTTAATAGGGCACTAAAATGGAAAAGTCATTGTTTAAACCATGGGAAAATAGCAACCATTATTGTCATCTAATTATGTAGAAAATACAGGAGCAACTTCAGAAAATGCACGTCAGCCCACTTTAATTTAGTCTATAAGGGTCACATAAGATGTAATCAAGGTTCAGCTTTGTTCCAAGATGTTGAATTGTGTAAAGCCAACTGTAGCAATTGCAGCCGCAGGCAAATATAATAAATGCAATTAACAGTGGGAATCAGCTGTGATTGTAGTGTCCTTTTAGAGGAGGTCGGTACTGTAGTGTCCTTGTAGAGGAGGTATGTACTGTATGCAAAGCTGAAACACACTGTCCATAGTGTTAGGAAGTTCTGGGAAAAGGGGTTCAGTGGAAAAATGTGTTTGTTTACCTCTTGGATAATTTAGTGTTTGCCCAAATGAATGAGCGAGAGGTATGTTTTGGATATTTCTCACACAGAGATTTAACCATATAATGACCTCTCCTTCACTAACAGTCTGACAGCAGTGAAATTCTGCGACTGACCCTGACCCTGATGCTGACCAAATCCCTGACCCTAACCCCTAACTTGACCTTTGTTCCGTGAGATCTCAGATGTACAGTATGGCTCCAATGAGGGTCATTCAGTCAAGATCATCTGTCATCAGTCATAGAGCTCATCCAATCAGATTTACGTCACTATCCAGGCTCCACCCACATTGCTTATATCAGCAACATATCCATCGTTTCCTGAGCTAATGATGATTGGTAGAGTCAGACCCCATTGAACATCATCTACCCTAGAGCTGGTAGAGTAGTCCATCAGACCCCATAGAACATCATCTACCCTAGAGCTGGTAGAGTAGTCCATCAGACCCCATAGAACATCATCTACCCTAGAGCTGGTAGAGTAGTCCATCAGACCCCATAGAACATCATCTACCCTAGAGCTGGTAGAGTAGTCCATCAGACCCCATAGAACATCATCTACCCTAGAGCTGGTAGAGTAGTCCATCAGACCCCATAGAGCTGGTTTGATTCAGACGAGGAGAGGGGAAGAGAACATCATCTACCCTAGAGTTGATCTGATGAGTTAAACTGGGGAGTACAGAGAGGAGGATGAGAGGAGGAGAAGGAGGGGATCCTTAATCCACATTCCATGAAATGAATCATTCATTGAGAGATAATCTTTCATTATTGATGTTAGAACTTTCTGAATGTCTTGTAATATGACTTGAGAGATTTCATAAACAGTTAAATGTGTTCCTGGCCTTAAGCTGTTCGCAATCGAAGACAGCCATTGCATAGGCTCGGTAGAACTGTGTAGGGACTGTAGATCTATGTGTTGGGGTGCGAGGGCAACCAAGGAATGTCTCTCCTTCCTCTCCCACATGATCATCTCTTCGCAAGTCTCTTTACCTCCTTTCTTTCACCTGTTCACTGTGGTGAAAGACAATAAGACCATTCACCTGGGCTCAGTGTGTACTGTTCCCCCTGTAGGACTGATAGTGATACCAGGGCCTCCGATGGGGCCTCTAATGGGGCCTCTAATGGGTTCTCTAATTGGTTCTCTAATGGATGGGGCCTCTGATGGCACAGAGAAACTTCCCTGATAATGACCTGAGGCCCTGATATCTTACTGGACCCAGAATGCTGCTACTGTTCTGAACATGGATATCTAAGATAAGCTGATACACTGTATTGTATTAGAGGTAAAAGAGTGAATCTTTGTGATGCAGACTGTCTGGAGACGTAAATGTGGACTGTTGTGGTGGAGCTCTACCCGTTGTGGTGGTTACACTGGGTAGTAACTCTACCCGTTGTGGTGGTTATACTGGGTAGTAACTCTACCCGTTGTGGTGGTTATACTGGGTAGTAACTCTACCCGTTGTGGTGGTTATACTGTGTAGTAACTCTACCCGTTGTGGTGGTGCTACTGGGTAGTAACTCTACCCGTTGTGGTGGTTATACTGTGTAGTAACTCTACCCGTTGTGGTGGTTATACAGGGTAGTAACTCTACCCGTTGTGGTGGTTATACTGGGTAGTAACTCTACCCGTTGTGGTGGTGCTACTGGGTAGTAACTCTACCCGTTGTGGTGGTTATACTGTGTAGTAACTCTACCCGTTGTGGTGGTTATACTGGGTAGTAACTCTACCCGTTGTGGTGGTTATACTGTGTAGTAACTCTACCCGTTGTGGTGGTTATACTGGGTAGTAACTCTACCCGTTGTGGTGGTGCTACTGGGTAGTAACTCTACCCGTTGTGGTGGTTATACTGGGTAGTAACTCTACCGTTGTGGTGGTTATACTGGGTAGTAACTCTACCCGTTGTGGTGGTTATACTGTGTAGTAACTCTACCCGTTGTGGTGGTGCTACTGGGTAGTAACTCTACCCGTTGTGGTGGTTATACTGGGTAGTAACTCTACCCGTTGTGGTGGTTATACTGTGTAGTAACTCTACCCGTTGGGGTGGTTATACTGGGTAGTAACTCTACCCGTTGTGGTGGTGCTACTGGGTAGTAACTCTACCCGTTGGGGTGGTTATACTGGGTAGTAACTCTACCCGTTGTGGGTGGTTATACTGGGTAGTAAACTCTACCCGTTGTGGTGGTTATACTGGGTAGTAACTCTACCCGTTGTGGTGGTTATACTGGGTAGTAACTCTACCCGTTGGGGTGGTTATACTGGGTAGTAACTCTACCCGTTGGGGTGGTTATACTGGGTAGTAACTCTACCCGTTGTGGTGGTTATACTGGGTAGTAACTCTACCCGTTGGGGTGGTTATACTGGGTAGTAACTCTACCCGTTGTGGTGGTTATACTGTGTAGTAACTCTACCCGTTGTGGTGGTTATACTGTGTAGTAACTCTACCCGTTGTGGTGGTTATACTGGGTAGTAACTCTACCCGTTGTGGTGGTTATACTGGGTAGTAACTCTACCCGTTGTGGTGGTTATACTGGGTAGTAACTCTACCCGTTGTGGTGGTGCTACTGGGTAGTAACTCTACCCGTTGTGGTGGTTATACTGGGTAGTAACTCTACCCGTTGTGGTGGTGCTACTGGGTAGTAACTCTTCCCGTTGGGGTGTGTATGTGTACCGAGGTAGCAGGACAAGGGGAGCGCTTGTGTCTCTGGGGGGCTCTGTGGTTGAAAGGCAGGGAGATGGAGAGAGGAGGGAGGGAGAGCTGGAGAGAAGAGGGAGAGAGGAGGGAGAGATGGGGAGAGGAGGGAGAGATGGGAAGAGGAAGGAGAGAGGAGGGAGAGATGGGGAGAGATGGGGATAGGAGGGGAGAGGGGGAGAGATGGAAGTTGGAGCTGGTTAAAGGCGGGCTCGTTGGCGCGGCATGGCGCTCGAATTCCTAGCGGGCGGATGGGGAGATTTTGTCCCTTTGGGAGGTTGTGCCGAGGGGCCTTTTCTCTCTGTCTGCTTGCGCCTCGCTGCGTCTCTTTCTCTCTGTAGCTGTAGGGCTAGGCTGGAGAGATGGAGAGGGAGGGCGCTTGGGTACTTTGTAGAGATGGAGATTGGGGATGAGGGAGAGATGGAGAGAGGAGGGGCTCCCACAGTGGGTAAGCAGACTGTAGAATGTGCCTGAATCCATTTTAGTGTATGATGACGGACACACACACCCATACACACACAAACACGCACACACACTGACTGGGTGATGAAGGAATCATGTGTAGGGGGTCTGTCAGTGCTGTCAGACTGTCAGACACAATACTACTCTTACACCAGAGTCACACTATGTCATCTTTATTTGGTATGTTGAGTTTAATAACGTGTTTCATTCTGACACATTATAAGAACACATACTAATATTAACAAAGCAATATAGTGAAGATATAGCAGGAAATTAATGTTTTCAAACAGAGGACATTCCCCCTGTTGAATTGAATATCAACGGGCCCTAAATCATGATATGAACATGTGTACGTTCATATTTGGACATCATGTGTTTCTTGGTGTTTTCTATTTTTCCATCATGTGTTTCTTGGTGTTTTCTATTTAGCCATCATGTGTTTCTTGGTGTTTCTCTCTGGTCTCAGGAGGATGATGAAACATTTTGGAGCAAACAGACAGAACAGCAGCCCAAAGCTGGAGGCCAGGATGGCAAAGATCTCTACAGCTACTGTGTACTTCCCAGGAGAGCTGACGTAGGCTGGGATGAAGGAGATCCACACGGCACAGAAGATCAGCATGCTGAAGGTGATGAACTTGGCCTCGTTGAAGTTGTCTGGGAGTTTCCTGGCCAGGAAGGCTAAGAGGAGACAGATAGAGGCCAGCAGGCCGATGTAGCCCAGCACCAGAGAGAAGCCGACCACAGAGCCCACCTCACACTCCAGGACCACTCTCGGCCCCCGACCCTCTCTGCCCCCTCTCTCAGCAGGTCGGGGTGGAGCTAGGGTCAGCCACAGCACACAGATCAGCACCTGTGGAAGGTAAAGTGTTGGAAGGAAATAGCAAGCGCAGTTACCATAACAACAAATAATATGGTCAGTGAAGGAAACAATTACATTCCAATAGAATATAGTAAAAACTAGATGTTCACCTGGATGAGTGTGCAGAGTGAGATACCCATCCTCTGCTGGGCGGGGCTGAAGTATCTCATCAGGTTCTCTCCAGGCAGAGAGGCCCTGAAAGCCACCAGCACCACCACAGTCCTGCTGAGCAGGCAGGAGATGCACAACACAAAGCTTATACCAAACAGGGTGTGTCTCAGCATGCACGTCCATGGCTTCGGCTGGCCAATGAAAACCAGCGCACACAGGAAGCAGAGCTTGAGTGACAGCAGGAGCAGGAAGCTGAGCTCAGAGTTGTTGGCTTTCACCTGGAACGAGACAGAGAAAGATAATTTAGACTGAGTTACATCAGAAATATCCTCCTTATATGACACAATCTCATCTCTGTCCAGTACCTCTATATATGATCATATGATTCAACTCACCAGGGCCGTGTGACGGTGGTAGAGGAAGGTGGCCAGGGCACCGGCTGTGAGTGTTGCCCCGGAAACTGAGATGACGGACAGGATGACACCCATGGTGTCGCTGTAGGAGAGGAAGTCCACCAGCTGGGGTATGCAGGCCGTACGGTCAGGGTTGGACCAGAACCGCTCTGGACACCTAATACACTCAACTGACCCTGATAGAGAAGGAAGAAGAAGAAGGGTTCCAAATCAGGACCAGTCAGGATTCAGGAAAAATATGAATTGGAATCAGAACCGTTGATAGACTACCTGTTGTGTTGCTGATCTCTCCCTCAGTGCAGGACAAACAGTCGAAGCAGCACACAGGCCTCCCCTTCTGTACCACATGCCTGGAACCAGGGGGACAGGCAGCACTGCATACAGACACAGGGACCTACCAGAGGATGGAGGGGATGCAGTCATCATCTTCATCATCATCATCATCATCATCATTACACACACACACAGGCAGGCTCGCTGGGCCCCTCTGGAGACTATGTCAGGAATATGACCACACAAATATCTCACATTCAGTAGCATGTTGATGTCAGAGCTTTGTCTCTAAGCTAACATTCAGTAGCATGTTGATGTCAGAGCTTTCTCTCTGAGCTAACATTCAGTAGCATGTTGATGACAGAGATTTCTGTCTGAGCTAACACTTGGTAGCATGATGATGACAGAGCTTTCTGTCTGAGCTAACATTCAGTAGCATGTTGATGACACAGCTTTCTGTCTGAGCTAACATTCAGTAGCATGTTGATGACACAGCTTTCTGTCTGAGCTAACATTCAGTATCATGTTGATGACAGAGATTTCTGTCTGAGCTAACACTTGGTAGCATGTTGATGACAGAGCTTTCTCTCTGAGCTAACATTCAGTAGCATGTTGATGACAGAGATTTCTGTCTGAGCTAACATTCAGTAGCATGTTGATGACAAAGGTTTCTGTCTGAGCTAACATTCAGTAGCATGTTGTTGGGTTCTATTTTTCTCATAATTGGATCTGTATGTGATGAATAGCTTAGAAGGAATGCATTAATGAGGAGCATAGGTTTGAACTGTACTGATATAAATTGTTTCACATAACAGGCTGTGATTCATGTAAGGAACATTAGGGGAAGGATAGATAAGACTTGTATTTCTCATAGATACGAACACTGCTTATTTGTGATCTGTGAACCTTCCAAGGACATGGGTACTGCAAAAAAGTGCTGACTCTGCAGGTTCAACTTATGCCTGGGAACGGTGGAGCGCCAAGGGGTGGAGCGCCGAGGGGTTGGGACCAACCCGTGCGCCAACGGATTGGCTGAGTAAAGTCTAAACCACACTCAGTCCTTTACTCTGATTGGCCAACAGAAGAGGTGAAAACTCTCTGTCAGAGTATTTGAGAAAGAACCTGTAAACAATGTTTTAGTTCTCTGTCTGCCCTGTGTGGTTTTTCAGTGAGCCCGTATACGAACCTTCATACTTATTATACATACATTTTGCATATAATAAATTTAGCTTGGATTGAATATCTCTTGATTATGTTTTCTCTTATTCCAATACCAGATTTGAATTACGCAATTTCTAAAAATGTTGATGACAGAGCTTTCTGTCTGAGCTAACATTCAGTAGCATGTTGATGACAGAGCTTTCTGTCTGAGCTAACATTCAGTAGCATGTTGATGACAGAGCTTTCTGTCTGAGCTAACATTCAGTAGCATGTTGATGACACAGCTTTCTGTCTGAGCTAACATTCAGTAGAGTGTCTGATAAATGACGAAAATGTAAATGTAAATGTAGTAGCATGTTGGTGACAGAGCTTTCTGTCTGAGCTAACATTCAGTAGCATGTTGATGACAGAGCTTTCTGTCTGAGCTAACATTCAGTAGCATGTTGATGACAGAGCTTTCTGTCTGAGCTAACATTCAGTAGCATGTTGATGACAGATATTTCTGTCTGAGCTAACATTCAGTAGCATGTTGATGACAGAGATTTCTGTCTGAGCTAACATTCAGTATCAGGTTGATGACAGAGCTTTCTCTCTGAGCTAACATTCAGTATCATGTTGATGACAGAGCTAAAATTCTCCTGTTATTTGGTTGGTCTTTTTTTGTCTCTTTCTTTGCTGTATGTCTGCCTCATGGTGATATACTAAATAAGTCTCTCTCACTCACACAAACACACAAACACACACACACACACACAAACACACACACACACACACACACACACACACACACACACACACACACACACCACTCCTCTCTGCCTCAGAGAAACCAAACTGAACAGTTCTCACCTCATCTCCGCTGCCCCCACCCCACACCACTTTCTCCATATCGATGTGAAACTGGCCTTCCGATCCCTCAGAGGTCAGAAAATGGCCGACCTGGACAAACTCTGCCGTCCCCTTGGGGGTTACATGCCAGTTGATGATGTCATAAGAGGCAGGCGGATCACCATTCATGTCAAAGTGGAAAGATTCCCCCACAGGAGTGCTGAAGTTCACTCCCCTCAGATAATGAACAATCTCAAAGAGAAAAGGGCATTGGAACAGTATTAAGAGATAGAACCAACTGTGGCTGTGGGCCTTTAGTACTCAAACCTTACAAAGTGTTTTCACTGTATCCTGACTGGAAACATTAGTGCTGTTAACATGAAAACAGATTAATATGGCATTGTCACCTGGCTGGGCTGAAGCTTCCTGATATCAGGGCACTGTCCACCATTAAAGGCTCCCTCCCCTGGTCGACAGGCCAACATGTCCTGTATGGCGTAAGCGATGGCGTACACAGCCTTGTACACATTATAGGTGGCTCTCAGCTGAGACACGTCAGCGTACTGGCTCTCCCCCTCACCTAGGATTGACACTTTATTTTACTGAGACAACATGGGGAATCAGGACACAAAAACAGAGTTTTAGGTGTAAACTCTCCCTCACGTATGACCTCTGACCCAGTACACTGTCGCCTGGACGACTGGGTCACGCTGAGTTCAACCCCCAGAGAACAGCCAAACATCTCCTCCCACAATTCCCTCAGGAAGGGATCAGACTTCTGGTAGTCCCCATCAGGATGGAGGCGTGTTAGGAAAGGCCCCAGGCCGGGAATGACAGCTTTCTTCAGGGCAAAACCGATCGTCCCGGCAAGAGAGGGCAGGTTTTTAGGGGTGGAGAGAGTAGAGTAGGTTACCCAGGCCTCTGAGGCTATCCACTGCCTATCTGTTATGTTCTGACGGATAACCTCTTCCATCAAGGCCTGGAGAATGAGATGGTTAAAAAGATCAAGACAGTTCAGCTGAAATACAAGATTATCAATTAGGAAATGCTTGTGTCTATAAAGGGCATCAATACATGGTAAGACACAAGGACACTGCTACAGCTGTTTAACAAATAATGAACAATACTCTGACCAGTCACTGCTCACCCCTGAATCACCCGTGAATCCTACGAATGTCACCACCACTCTGGCAGTAGATCCTCTGATGGTGTCCACGATGTGCCTGATCTGTCTCTTAGACGGTGCCTTGGGGATGACCATCAGTGAGAGAGAGGGAAGAGAGTCAGAGAAAATCAGAGAGAGGGTTTCTGTTAGATTAGAAGAGAGGGGGGGTCAGAGTAAAAGAGAGAGAGAGAGAAAGAGAGCGCAAAAGAAAGTGTATATTGTCAGATCATCAGAGTGAGGTCGTACCTTGGGGATGACCTCAGAGTAGGCGACACACACCCCAGACCCCTGGAGCTCTTGGAGAAGCACCTGAACCCCAAACTTGCCATAGTCACCATCCCCAGACACCAGCCCCACCCACACCCAGCCCAGCCGACGCAGCAGCCTGGCCATGCCCAGAGCCTGGAAGGCATCGCTGGGTACCGTACGGAAGAACGAGGGGTACCTCCAGTTGTCACTCAAACACGCACAGGTGGCAAAGTAACTCACCTGGGAGAGAGAGAGAGAGAGAGAGAGAGAGAGGGAGAGAGAGAGAGAGAGAGAGAGAGAGAGAGAGAGAGAGAGAGAGAGAGAGAGAGAGAGAGAGAGAGAGAGAGAGAGTGTCAAGGATAATTGTCATTTGTAGGAGGCAGAGAGCATAGAACAGAGGGAGTGGGAAAGTAAACGTTAGAGAGAGAGTCATTTAGATGTATGTAACATGAAGAGCGTCATCATCTCATCACAACCCAGTCTGTAATCCAACCCTAAGCCTCACCATGGGTAAATCAAATGGCCCGAGGGTCTGTGCCACCACAATGGAGGCTGAGGAGCGGGCATCCCCGATGATGACGGGAACCTCAGGGGTTGCGCCACACTCTGTGCCCGCCACGGAGGCCTCCTGGCCGGTCACCATGGCTAGGGCTGCCCCCAGGGTGGTGCCCTCTGCCAGACATGTGTCAGCAGCCAGGAACCCCAGGGTGAGGTTAGGCAGGAGGGTTGGGTCACGGTTAATTTCCTCCACTGCAAAGATCATAGTCTGGAGCCAGCGGTAAGCACGCTGGTTGAAACTGACAGACGGAAGAAACGGGAAGATAGGAGGTAACTGAATACACTGTACACAAGTGAAAACACAATGACACAAAGCTGTTATCACACAAGCTGCGTACATTGTACATGTAGCATTTCCCGTAATGCTCCTGAACTCCTGCTCTGGCAGAGGGGCTTCCACATGGATGGGGAACAGGCCCCCAATGACAACATCTCCTGCCCGATAAACACTGCCGGAGACGGGCTTAGCCATCAGCCGACAAGCCCCCCCTCCATCTCCAGCCAGACCCCAGACAGACCCAGGGACATGGAGGCAGTAGAGCAGCCCCAGCCAGCCACACAGGCACATCACCTGGAGAGAGACAAGGCCGAGGACTGGGAGAGTACCGTCACCTGGAGGAGAGATCAAACCAAGACCTTACAGACAGAACACTGAGTAGATAGAATGACATGAACAAAAAGTGCTATCAATGAAGAGATACACCATACACCACAGACACCTGTCACCAGACATGTATGAAACAACAGTTATAGACACACAAAACCTTGTTCTACCTCTGCCCTACCTAGCAACAGTAAACCTGATCCTGGTAGACAGACAGACAGACAGACAGACAGACAGACAGAGAGAGAGAGGATGGAATGTCTGTCAGTCTGTCATCTCCTTCAGAGAGTGTGAGAGTGAAAGAGGGAGAGGAAGAGGAGAGAAGGGGAGCTGTTGATATAGGGAAAAATGAGCCCCCGGCTAAAAAACAAGTACACAGCCACCAGGGGGTGCTTGTAGGGACGGGAGGGGCAGGATGGTGTTAATTGGGGGCTTGTTATTGGAGGATAACTTTGGGAACAGGTAATTGGGGGTAATTGGAGAAAGCCTATGAGGTTGATGTTATTGAAGGTAATGTAATAGCACAGGAGATACAGTATCTGTTCTTCAACAACATCTGATGGCTCCATTGAGGCAGATGTTACATCATACTGTAATATGAATGATTTCCTTAAATTAAAAAGTGAAATTGTGATTAGATGGATTAGAGAAATGCATGGAGAGAAAGAGAGAGAGAGATATAGACAGAGAGAGAGAACGAGAGAGAGAGAGAGAGAGACTAAGAAAAAGAAAGAAAGAAAGAAAGAAAAGAAGAAAGAAAGAAAGAAAGAAAGAAAGAAAGAAAAAAAAAGAAAAAAAAAAAAAGAAAGAAAAAATAAAAAAAAAAGAAAAAAAAAGAAAAAAAAAAAAAAAAAAAAAGAAAAAAAAAAGAAAAAAAAAGAAAAAAAAAAAGAGTTTTTTTAAAAAGGGATGCCCGAGGGGGGAAAAAATTTAAAAAAAATTTTTTAGGGGGAGAAAAAGGGAGGGGAAACTAAAGAAAAGAGGAAACAAAGGAAAAGAGGGTTTTTTTTTTGGGTTTGGAGGGGAGAGAGAGAAGGAGCGAGAAGAAAAGAGAGGAGAGAGATGGAGGAGGGGAGAGAGAAAAGGGAAGAGGGAAGAGAAGATAGAGGAAAAGAGGGAGAGAAAAAAATAGGGGGCCACCCCCGGGGGGCCCGGGGGGGGGGGGCAAACAGGGGGGGGTGGGGTCCCCCCCTTGCCCCCAGGGTCCCCGAGGCGGTGCCTCCCCCCCCCTTTTTTCGGGGCCCCCCTTCCCTTTTTCTCTCCCCTTTCCCCCTTTCCCCCCCCTTTTTTTTTTTTTTTTTCTCTTTTTTCCCCCCCCCCCCTTTCCTTTTCTCCTCTTCTCTCTCTGCCTTCTTCTCTCTCTCTCCTCCTCTCTCTCTCCTCTCTCTCTCTCCTCCCTCTCCTCTCTCCTCCTCTCTCCTCTTTTTCCGCTTTTTTCTCCTCCCTTTCCCCCTTTCTCCCTTTTTTTTTTTTTTTTTTTTAAAAAAGAGTTTCCTAAATGTTTGACTTTTTCCCGGGGGGTTTTTTTTTTGTGTTTGGGTTTTTTGGTTTTTTTTGTGGTGGTGTTGGTTTAGTGTGTGTGTGTGTGTTGTGTGTGTGTGTGTGTGTGTGGTGTGTGTGTGTGTGTGTGTGTGTGTGTGTGAGAGATCGTTGTGCTTTTGGTTTTACAAGGACAGTAAAACAAGGAAAATACGGACAACTGGGGACATTTCGCCGGACCCCACAAGGAAAAATACTATTTTAGGCTTAAATGTGGTTATATATGGTTTAGGGTTAGATTACAATATGGTTTAGGGTTAGATTACAATAAGGTTTAGGGTTAGATTACAATAAGGTTTAGGGTTAGATTACAATAAGGTTTAGGGTTAGATTACAATAAGGTTTAGGGTTAGATTACAATAAGATTTAGGGTTAGATTACAATAAGGTTTAGGGATTAGAGTTAGGGATTAGGGGTTCGTTTTAGGGTTAAGAGTTAGGGTCCGTTTAGGGTTGGGGTTTGGAGTTTGGGGTTAGGGTTAACGTTATGGGTTAGGGTTAGGTTAAGGTTTAGGGTTAAGGATTAGGGAAACTAGGATGTGTGTGTGTGTGTGTGTGTGTGTGTGTGTGTGTGTGTGTGTGTGTGTGTGTGTGTGTGTGTGTGTGTGTGTGTCCTGGTGACGAAGAGCTTCCTGTTTCCTCTCATGTTTGCTGTGTTCACATGTTTTGAAATACATTTGCTGTGCCATCCTTCTCACAAGTACTGTGTGTTCAATCATTGAAGTGTGAAATCTCACGTGTGCTACCAATAACTAATGTCCTAAATTCTCACGTGTGCTACCCCATATGCATGTTCTAAAGGGGTGTGTACTCCGGAGACAGAGAGCGCTGCAGCTGGCTGTGGACAGCTGAGTCACGTGAGTGTGAGGAGAGCAGCACATCGTGATGTAACACTAGCTAGCTACGTACTTCTCCCTCAAAATTATTTGTTGCCTCTTTCTTTGTTTCAGTCCTACCAATCATCACAGACAACACAGTGAGAGAAAACTGAGAAATAATAATAACCCAACAGTTTCAGAGAGGAACGAACCATGTGCTAGTTAGCTAGCTGACGTTTGCCAGAAAGTTGAAGTCAGAGGAGAGAGAGAGAGAGAGGGGCGCGCGGCGGCGCAGAGGTGAGGACAGAGGAACCGATTGGATACGCTAGCTTACTGGCTAGACACAATTATACTGTCAGAATGTCAGGTAAATGGGCAAAATATGGCCTAGGGGGTTGAGGGTTGAGGGTTCTAAACTGACATGACATTTTTTACGATGGTCATACTATGGGTCATTTAGCAATTTCATTAAAAAAAATTGGACTCCTTTAGGTATAAAAAATATATAGATCAAAACTGTATTTGATCAAATATAGATTTTGGCCTTTACTACTAAAGCCCATAGAAACGAATTGAATAACACATTAATTGAATAACACATTAATTGAATAACACATTCATAATAAACATTAATTGAATAACACATTCATAAATGACAAAAGGACAGTCATAAAATAAATCATAAAAAACAGAAGTTGGCACATCGACGGTACCGGCTTCAAACAAGTCTCCTGACACTTGTGGGGGTCGTAGAGCAAAACGGAGAACACCAACTCCAGAATTGCAACTATTGTTCACCTAGGATGTTTTGTTGAAGACATTGCAAAGAAAGGAATCAATATTCACAGAATGCACAGCACTCATAAATGCAGTTATAGGGCCTGCAGTGCATGAGGAACTAATAAAGGACATTGGGAATGAGTCTTACTCATTGATTATTGATGAAAGTACTGATGTCACGACTAAGAAGCAGCTGGAACGACCTAGCGAACAGACGCGAACTGGCTGAGTCGATTCAGTGGCTAGCTTTGCACTTGGCTGGCTAACAGTAGCTGCTAGGGGTAAGTTATAACATACATTTGTGTTTTGTTTTTACTTACTGGTAACCAGAGTCGTTCAAGGGAATTCGGGACATGGGTGACTAGTTAACGTTAGCTTGGCTCTCTCTGTGTGTTTGTGCCGTGGGAGGAGTTTTTTTTTTTTCGTTGGCAGAGAGCAATGGCTAGCTAGTATGCTAACTATCCTAGCTAACTAACTGGCTGAATAAGTTGACGACGGACTCGCTCAAGCTGTTGGGACTAACCCAGAACTTTACAGAACGTTAGACACGGACACGAATTATCTGCTTGGCGTGTTGACACACTGGTGGTTTGTTGTTGCCGAGTATTGGTGCTAAACCGTGTTGTTGGAGGCTGGCATGCTAATTGGCTGTGGCGTCATAGGATTTGGTGCCCTGGACGGTTTTCACGGAAGAATACTGTACCAAGTTAGCTAGCTGAATAAACTAAGTTAGTCTATTCCTAGAAAACATTGAACCGCTGTAGTTTACAACAATTATAGTTTCTGAGGTGGAAGCTGGGAGAGTTATATTTGGGTGTTTCAGTGAAACGTAAGTGAGGGAGGCCCCGCTCTCTCGCTTTCCCAGATGTTTAGTTAATTTCATTCCGATCTCCTTTGCATTATTGTAGCCATTTTCTGTAGCCTGTCAACTATGTCTCTGTCTATCCCTTTTCTCTCCTCTCCGCACAGGCTATACAAACGCCTCACACCGTGTGTCTGCTGCCACTCTAACCTGGTGGTCCCTGCACGCACGACCCACGTGGAGTTCCAGGTCTCCGGCAGCCTCTGGAACTGCCGTTCTGCGGCTAACAAGGCAGTTCATCTCAGCCTATGCTACCCTCCAGTCCCTCCACTTCTTGGCGCTGACGGAAACATGGATTACCACAGAAAACACTGCTACTCCTACTGCTCTCTCCTCGTCTGACCATGTGTTCTCGCATACCCCGAGAGCATCTGGTCAGCGGGGTGGTGGCACAGGAATCCTCATCTCTCCCAAGTGGACATTCTCTCTTTCTCCCCTGACCCATCTGTCTATCTCCTCATTTGAATTCCATGCTGTCACAGTCACTAGCCCTTTCAAGCTTAACATCCTTGTCATTTATCGCCCTCCAGGTTCCCTTGGAGAGTTAATCAATGAGCTTGATGCCTTGATAAGTTCCTTTCCTGAGGATGGCTCACCCCTCACAGTTCTGGGTGACTTTAACGTCCCGATGTCTACATTTGACTCATTTCTTTCTGCCTCCTTCTTTCCACTCCTCTCCTCTTTTGACCTCACCTTTTCACCGTACCCCCCTACTCACAAGGCAGGCAATACGCTTGACCTTATCTTTACTAGATGCTGTTCTTCTACTAATCTCACTGCAACTCCCCTCCAAGTCTCCGACCACTACTTTGTATCCTTTTCTCGCTCGCTCTCCTCCAACACTACTCACTCTACCCCTACTCAGATGGTAATGCGCCGTTGCAACCTTCGTTCTCTCTCTCCCGCTACTCTCTCCTCTTCCATCCTATCATCTCTTCCCTCTGCTCAATCCTTCTCCCTCCAATATTCTGATTCTGCCTCCTCAACCCCCCTCTCCTCCCTTTCTGCATCATTTGACTCTCTATGTCCCCTATCTTCCCGGCCGGCTCGGTCCTCCCCTCCTGCTCCGTGGCTTGACGACTCATTGCGAGCTCACAGAACAGTGCTGCGGGCAGCCGAGCGGAAATGGAGGAAAACTAGACTCCCTGCGGGACCTGGCATCTTTTCACTCCCTCCTCTCTACATTTTCTTCCTCTGTTTCTGCTGCTAAAGCCACTTTCTACCACTCTAAATTCCAAGCATCTGCCTCTAACCCTAGGAAGCTCTTTGCCACCTTCTCCTCCCTGCTGAATCCTTCTCCCCCTCCCCCCCCTCCTCCCTCTCTGTGGATGACTTCGTCAACCATTTTCAAAAGAAGGTTGACGACATCCGATCCTCGTTTGTTAAGTCAAATGACACCGCTGGTCCTGCTCACACTGCCCTACCCTATGCTTTGACTTCTTTCTCCCCTCTCTCTCCAGATTAAATCTTGCGACTTGTGACGGCCGGCCGCCCAACAACCTGCCCGCTTGACCCTATCCCCTCCTCTCTTCTCCAGACCATTTCCGGAGACCTTCTCCCTTACCTCACCTCGCTCATCAACTCATCCTTGACCGCTGGCTATGTCCCTTCCATCTTCAAGAGAGCGAGAGTTGCACCCCTTCTCAAAAAACCTACACTCGATCCCTCCGATGTCAACAACTACAGACCAGTATCCCTTCTTTCTTTTCTCTCCAAAACTCTTGAGCGTGCCGTCTTTAGCCAACTCTCTTGATATCTCTCTCAGAATGACTTTCTTGATCCAAACCAGTCAGGTTTCAAGACTGGTCATTCAACTGAGACTGCTCTTCTCTGTGTCACGGAGGCTCTCCGCACTGCTAAAGCTAACTCTCTCTCCTCTGCTCTCGTCCTTCTAGACCTATCTGCTGCCTTTGATACTGTGAACCATCAGATCCTCCTCTCCACCCTCTCCGAGTTGGGCATCTCCGGCGTGGCACACTCTTGGATTGCGTCCTACCTGACAGGTCGCTCCTACCAGGTGGCGTGGCGAGAATCTGTCTCCGCACCACGTGCTCTCACCACTGGTGTCCCCCAGGGCTCAGTTCTAGGCCCTCTCCTATTCTCGCTATACACCAAGTCACTTGGCTCTGTCATATCCTCACATGGCCTCTCCTATCATTGCTACGCAGACGACACACAATTAATCTTCTCCGTTTCCCCTTCTGATAACCAGGTGGCGAATCGCATCTCTGCATGTCTGGCAGACATATCAGTGTGGATGACGGATCACCACCTCAAGCTGAACCTCGGCAAGACGGAGCTTCTCTTCCTCCCGGGGAAGGACTGCCCGTTCCATGATCTCGCCATCATGGTTGACAACTCCGTTGTGTCCTCCTCCCAGAGTGAAAAGAGCCTTGGCGTGACCCTGGACAACACCCTGTCGTTCTCCGCTAACATCAAGGCGGTGACCCGATCCTGTAGGTTCATGCTCTACAACATTCGCAGAGTACGACCCTGCCTTACACAGGAAGCGGCACAGGTCCTATTCCAGGCACTTGTCATCTCCCGTCTGGATTACTGCAACTCACTGTTGGCTGGGCTCCCTGCCTGTGCCATTAAACCCCTACAACTCATCCAGAACGCCGCAGCCCGTCTGGTGTTCAACCTTCCCAAGTTCTCTCACGTCACCCCGCTCCTCCGCACACTCCACTGGCTTCCAGTTGAAGCTCGCATCTGCTACAAGACCATGGTGCTTGCCTACGGAGCTGTGAGGGGAACGGCACCTCCTTACCTTCAGGCTCTGATCAGACCCTACACCCAAACGAGGGCATTGCGTTCATCCACCTCTGGCCTGCTGGCCCCCCTACCTCTGCGGAAGCACAGTTCCCGCTCAGCCCAGTCAAAACTGTTCGCTGCTCTGGCACCCCAATGGTGGAAACAAGCTCCCTCATGACGCCAGGACAGCGGAGTCATTCACCACCTTCCGGAGACACTTGAAACCCCACCTCTTTAAGGAATACCTGGGATAGGATAAAGTAATCCTTCTACCCCCCCCCCCCCCCCCCCCCCCCCCCCCCCCCCCCTTACCCCCCCCCCCCCCCCCCCCCCTAAAAATTTTTTTGTAAAGTGGTTGTCCCACTGGCTATCATAAGGTGAACGCACCCAATTTGTAAGTCGATAAGAGCGTCTGCTAAATGACGAAAACGTAAATGTAAAATAAAATACCACAGCAAGAAACTCTTTCAAATCATAAGCACATTTGGAGGAATAATAAACATTCCAGCTGAGGATTCACTGACCATTGCCAATGCCTTGTTCAAGTTTCTTGATGACAATACATTTCCCAATAACAACTGCATCTAGCCACAGATGGCTGAAACACAATGTTTGCACCTTTGGCAGTGATTACAGCCTTCAGTCTTCTTGGGTATGATGCTACAAGCTTGGCACAGCTGTATTTGGGGAGTTTCTCACATTCTTCTCTGCAGATCCTCTCAAGGTCTGTCAGGTTGGATATGGAGCGTCGCTGCACAGCTATTTTCAGGTCACTCCAGAGATGTTAGATCGGGTTCTAGTCCAGGCTCTGGCTGGGCCACTCAAGGACATTCAGAGACTTGTCCCGAAGCCACTCCTGCGTTGTCTTGGCTGTGTGCTTAGGGTCGTTGTCCTGTTGGAAGGTGAACCTTTGCTCCAGTCTGAGGTCCTTAGCGCTTTGGAGCAGGTTTTCATCAAGGATCTCTCTGTACTTTGTTCCATTCATCTTTCCCTCGATCCTGACTAGTCTCCCAGTCCCTGCCACTGAAAAACATCCCCACAGTATGATGCTGCCACCACCATGCTTCACTGTAGAGATGGTGCCAGGTTTCCTCCAGACGTGACGCTTGGCATTCAGGCCAAAGAGTTCAATCTTGGTTTCATCAGACCAGAGAATCTTGTTTCTCATGGTCTGAGAGTCCTTTAGGTGCCTTTTGGCAAACTTCAAGCAGGATTTCATGTGCCTTTTACTGAGGAGTGGCTTCCATCTGGCCACTCTACCATAAAGGCCTGATTGGTGGAGTGCTGCAGAGATGGTTGTCCTTCTGGAAGGTTCTCCCATCTCCACAGAGGAACTCTGGAGCTCTGTCAAAGTGACCATCTGGTTCTTGGTCACCTCCCTGTCCAAGGCCCTTCTCCCCCGATTGCTCAGTTTGGCCGGGCGGCCAGCTCTAGGAAGAGTGTTGGCAGTTCAAAACTTCTTCCATTTAAGAATGATGGAGGCCACTGTGTTCTTCGGGACCTTCTGAATACTTAATTATGGGGTATTGTGTGTAGATTGATCAGGAAAAAATATAGATTTTCTCCATTTTAGAATAAGGCTGTAACGTAACAAAATGTGGAAAAATTCAAGGGGTTTGAATACTTTCCGAATGCACTGTAGGACAGACACTTTAAAACATACTTCCTTTAGATTTATTTTTTAGCTATCTGTTTTACCATATATGAATATGTTATTCAATGCGTGTCACACCCTGACATAGAGATCTCTAGTTGGTTTGGTCAGGGTGTGAATATCTAGAATGTGTATATCTATGTTGGCCGGGTGTGGTTCCCAATCAGAGGCAGCTGTCGATCGTTGTCTCTGATTGGGGATCATACTTAGGTAGCCATTTTGCCTACCTATGTTGTGGGATCTTGTTTCTGTTTGGCTTGTTGGATATTTAGCCTTTTGAACGTCACGTTCTGTTGGATTTTGTTATTTTGTCGGTGTTTATAAAATAAATGACTATGTACGCATACCACGCTGCACCTTGGTCCAATCCTTTACTCAATGAACGTGACAGAAGATCCCACCACCAACGGACCAAGCAGCGTGAACAGGAAGAGCAGACAACATGGACATGGGAGGATATTTTGGACGGTAAGGGATCCTGGACTTGGGAAGAGATCCAGGCACGTATGGATCGCCTTCCTTGGGAGCAAACGGAGACAGCGAGTGAGAAATAACGGCGACTCAAAAGGTCCCGATCACTAAGGAATCCCGAGAGGCAGCCCAAATATTTTTTTTTGGGGGGGGCACACGGGGTGGTGGGCGATGCCGCAGGAGGCCCTGAAAGATCTGCAGCTCAGCACTCTGAGAGAGGAGAACACCACCTAACGGGGGCTGATAGAGAAGAGGGAGCAGGAGCTCTCCCTTCAGAAGGAGGCGCTGCAGGAGGCCCACAGGGAGAAGGAGTCAGTGGATGCACAGAGAGAGGAGCTGGCTAGGCAACAGGAGGAGCTGAGAGAGGAATTAACCCTAGAGAAAAGGAGAACGCAGTCCTTAGAGCAGAGGCTGGCGGAGCCAGGTTTCAGAGTAGAGCCAACTCCCCGCACTCGTGTTAAGGAGCGTGGGACCATACAGGCACCCTGTTATGCTGTGATACGCACTGTATCTCCAGTGTGCATTCACAGCCCGGTGCGCTTGGTGCCCGCGCCCCGCTCTTGCCGGGCTAAAATGAGCGTTCAGCCAGGACGGGTTGTTCCTGCTCCTCGCACCAAACCAGTGGTGCGTGTCCCCAGCCCGGTACGCTCCGTACCTGCTCCCCGCACCAAACCAGTGGTGCGTGTCCCCAGCCCGGTACGGCCCGTGCCTGCTCCTCGCACCAAACCAGTGGTGCGTGTCGCCAGCCCGGTGCACCCCGTGCTTGCTCCTCGCACCAAACCAGTGGTGCGTGTCCCCAGCCCGGTACGGTCCACTCCAGTGCCAGAGCAGTCCGCTCTACTGGTGCCTAGTCTAGATCCGGTCAGCTGCTCCACTCCAGTGCCAGAGCAGTCCGCTCCACCGGTGCCTAGTCCAGCTCCGGTCAGCTGCTCCACTCCTATGCCAGAGCAATCAGCTCCACCGGTGCCTAGTCCATCCCCGGTCAGCTGCTCCAGTCCAGAGCCAGAGCAGTCCGCTCCACCGGGGTCCAATTCAGTTCCGGTCAGCGGCTCCACTCCAGTGCCAGAGCAGTCCGCTCCACCAGTGCCTAGTCCGGGTCCGGTCATCTACTCTCCCACACCAGGGTCCAGACAGGACTTGGTGCATCGCGGGAGGACTGCAGAGCCAGAACCAGACGTCAACCCCTCTCCAGGGTTGGGGCCTCCCACACCAGGGTCCAGACAGGGCTTGGTGCATCACGGGAGGATTGCCGGTCCAGGCCCAGACGTCAGCCCCTCTCCAGGGTCGGGGCCTCCCACACCAGGGTCCAGACAGGGCTTGGTGCATCGTGGGAGGACTGAGAGGGGAAGCATCGCGCCGGGGTCCAGACCGGACCAGGTGTGCAACGGGGAGCCAGAAAAGGAGAGGACAGTAAGGTTGACGTCACGCCCGGGAGCCGGAGCCGCCACCGAGGCTAAATGCCCACCTGGACCCTCCCCTAAGGAGTCAGGTTTTGCGGCCGGAGTCCGCACCTTTGGAAGGGGGTACTGTCACGCCCTGACATAGAGATCTCTAGTTGGTTTGGTCAGGGTGTGAATATCTAGAATGTGTATATCTATGTTGGCCGGGTGTGGTTCCCAATCAGAGGCAGCTGTCGATCGTTGTCTCTGATTGGGGATCATACTTAGGTAGCCATTTTGCCTACCTATGTTGTGGGATCTTGTTTCTGTTTGGCTTGTTGGATATTTAGCCTTTTGAACGTCACGTTCTGTTGGATTTTGTTATTTTGTCAGTGTTTATAAAATAAATGACTATGTACGCATATCACGCTGCACCTTGGTCCAATCCTTTACTCAGCGAACGTGACAATGTGTTTCTCTTGGCAGTAAGGACAAATTGGGAGACTAGGAAGGACACATTTAAATGTTTTAAATATTTTTTGTATATATATACTTACAGGGGTCCTAAAATTCCAAATCAAATGGCTAAATGAGACTGGGTATGACCATCTTAAAACAATTCCATATGTTAGCTTAGTAGAAACCCAGCCCCGGGCCTTTAGACCTTAGGGATTATCAACTAGATTCAGTTGCGGGCCGATTTTTCTTTGAGTGGATGGTCAGGGTTCTGGAACATAATTACAAATAATTTGTAGACTGCAAATTGACCGCAGAAGCCCAAATGGATATAATATTTGACAAAAATATAATCATTCCAAACCTTGCTTACAATCACATATTAGCAGACACTCTTATTCAGAGTGACTGACAGGAGCAAATAGGGTTACAAGCCTTGCTCAAGGGCACATCGACAGATATTTCATCTAGTCGTTTCTAGGATTCGAACCAGCGACCTTTCAGTTACTGGTCCAACACTCTTAACCACTAGGCTACCTGCTGCGATATGTACAGGTTATCTCCCAATTATGTGTGGGAATACTTTGGAACATATTTCTAAAATTAAAAAACGCTGAATTGCTGGTGTTTTTACGGTCTTTTATGTAAAATATAAATAGTACCTCAGATTTGGAGAAGACTAGTTAGCATGACTCGTGACTACCGGTGTGGAGGTAACTACTCCCTATTGTTATTAGGTATTCACTGTGTATTTATTAGTAGTATTATTATTTATTCCTCAAGTCACTATTTCTATATATTTTTTCTTTAACTGCATTTTTGGAAAAGAACGAGTAAGTAAGCATTTCACTGTTAGTCCTCTGTAGCTCAGCTGGTAGAGCACGGCGCTTGTAACGCCAAGGTAGTGGGTTCGATTCCCGGGACCACACGTACACAAAAAATATATAATTATGCACGCATGACTGTAAGTCGCTTTAGATAAAAGCGTCTGCTAAATGGCATATTATATATTATTATATTATTTACGAAGCATGCGGCAAATAAAATTAAGATTAGATTTTATTTGAAGAGGGAGTGATGGGGAGTGGAGAGGTTCCCACAGTGGGTATGCAGACAGTGGAATAAGCCTGTTTTCATTTTGGTGTACGATGAGGGACACACACTCACACACACACCCATACACGCACACACACACACTCACACACACACGCTCAAACTCACACACACACACACACACACACTGACTGGGTGATGAAGGAATCATGTGTAGGGGATCTGTCAGTGCTGTCAGACTGTCAGACACAATACTAACTCTTCCACCATGAGTAGACACTATGTCATCTTTATTGGTATTGTTGAGTTTATGTAGACGTATTTCATTCTGACACATTATAAGAACACATACTAATATTAACAAAGTAATATAGTGAAGGTATAGCAGGAAATTAATGTTTTCAAACAGAGGACATTCCCCCTGTTGAATTGAATATCAACGATACCCTAAATCCCGATATGAACATGTGTACGTTCATATGTGTTTATTGGTGGTTTCTATTTGGACATCATGTGTTTCTTGGTGGTTTCTATTTGGACATCATGTGTTTCTTGGTGTTTCTCTCTGGTCTCAGGAGGATGATGAAACATTTTGGAGCAAACAGACAGAACAGCAGCCCAAAGCTGGAGGCCAGGATGGCAAAGATCTCTACAGCTACTGTGTACTTCCCAGGAGAGCTGACGTAGGCTGGGATGAAGGAGATCCACACGGCACAGAAGATCAGCATGCTGAAGGTGATGAACTTGGCCTCGTTGAAGTTGTCTGGGAGTTTCCTGGCCAGGAAGGCTAAGATGAGACAGATAGAGGCCAGCAGGCCGATGTAGCCCAGCACCAGAGAGAAGCCGACCACAGAGCCCACCTCACACTCCAGGACCACTCTCGGCCCCTGACCCTCTCTGCCCCCTCTCTCAGCAGGTCGGGGTGGAGCTAGGGTCAGCCACAGCACACAGATCAGCACCTGTGGAAGGGAAAGGGTTGGAAGGAAAAAGCAAGCGCAGTTACCATAACAACAAATAATATGGTCAGTAAACAAGTTTCCATCCACAGTTTTTAAGCGAGTAAAGTCATACCGTATAACTTTTTTTTACGACAGCTGTGATGGAAACAGGACGTTTCGGTACAATTTTATAAATGCAGACAGATAATTGTTCGTTCGACAAAGTGGGATCTTTTTGAGTCGAGAAATGGTGGTAGAAACAACTTTATTTGCAAATATTGATATAATAACCATCATATCAAAGTAAACTTGGAGTCACTCGATTACGTGGTGTGTGGTCCTCCATGTAGTTTATTAGGCTACAGATAAAATAAGTTATGATGAATTTAGCTAGGACTGTCTGGGAGTGGTCTGAGTGGGGAGGGGAAAACTGAAAACTAGATGTTATTGGCTGAGAGATTCGGAGCTCTCTTTCTTTATGGTCTAGCAAAGTTGATGTCCTCGCCCCCGTGGAAATCGAATTAACATTTATTTACATACACTCAATTAGTATTTGGTAGCATTGCCGTTAAATTGTTTAACTTGGGTCAAACATTTCGGGTAGCCTTCCACAAGCTTCCCACAATAAATTGGATGAATTTTGGCCCATTCCTTCTGACAGAGCTGGTGTAACTGAGTCAGGTTTTTAGGCCTCCTTGCTCGCATACGGTTTTTCAGTTCTGCCCACACATTTTCTATAAGATTGAGGTCAGGGCTTTGTGATGGCCACTCCAGTACCTGGACTTTGTTGTCCTCAAGCCATTTTGCCACAACTTTGGAAGCATGCTTGGGATTATTGTCCATTTGGAAGACCCATTTGCGACCAAACTATATCTTCCTGACTGATGTCTTGAGATGTTGTTTCAATATATCCACATATTTTTCCTTCCTCATAATGCCATCTATTTTGTGAAGTGCACCAGTCCCTCCTGCAGCAAAGCACCCCCACAGCATGATGCTGCCACCCCCGTGCTTCACGGTTGGGTGGTGTTCTTCGGCTTGCAAGCTTTCCCCTTTTTCCTCCAAACATAACGATGGTCATTATGGCCAAACAGTTCTATTTTAGTTTAATCAGACCAGAGGACATTTCTCCAAAAAGTACGATCTTTGTCCCCATGTGCAGTTGCAAACTGTAGTCTGGCTTTTTTATGGCGGTTTTAGAGCAGTGGCTTCTTCCTTGCTGAGCTGCCTTTCAGGTTATGTCGATATAGGGCTCGTTTTACTGTGGATATAGAGACTTTTGTACCTGTTTCCTCCAGCATCTTCACAAGGTCCTTTGCTGTTTTTCTGGGATTGATTTGCACTTTTCACACCAAAGTACGTTCATCTCTAGGAGACAGAACGCGTCGGTATGACGGCTGCGTGGTCCCATGGTGTTTATACTTGTGTGCTATTGTTTGTACAGATGAACGTGGTACCTTCAGGCGTTTGGAAATTGCTCCCGAGGATGAACCAGACTTGTAGAGGTTTACAATTTTCTTTCTGAGGTCTTGGCTGATTTCTTTTGATTTTCCCATGATGTCAAGCAAAGAGGCGCTGAGTTTGAAGGTAGGCCTTGAAATACATCCACAGGTACACCTCCAATTGACTCAAAAGACGTCAATTAGCTTATCAGAAGCTTCTAAAGCCATGACATCATTTCCTGGAATTTTCCAAGCTGTTTAAAGGCTGCATCTTGTTATGCCCTCCTCTTCTACAGACTGTGGGACTGGCTTTACTGCCTCTGTGCTCTGCCAGTCTGACGGGTGGTGGGATGGAGAGCGAAATAAAGTGTGAAGGTATTCAACCTAATATAACCTGTCATTAGTCACATAGTTGTAAAGTCACTTGTGGAGCTTGTATTGCACATCTTGTGAAGTTTATTTCCATGATAGTTAATGGTCTCCATGCTCCTCTTCACCTGCCTTACTGTTTGTCTGTGGCCTCACTAGGGTTGGAGCTCCACGCCTCCCTGGGGAAAGAGAGGGGAGTGCGCCCCAGCTGGAGGTGCTGCTCCTGAGGGAGATCTGAAGGGGAGACCTGGGTCTTTCACAACTGGGACCAGGCCCACAGAGAAATGGTTGTTATGGAAACAGCTATCCTCCCTTTAGATTTCCAAAACTATGTTTTGCTGTGATCCCTGATACACTCAGACACACACTTTAAGTTCTGGCTGTCTGCTGTTCATTTACTTGACCTTTTCACATGGTCTCCCACTGTAGGCCTACAAGTGTGTTGGTGTGTGGTGTAATTGTTTGTGTGTTTTTCTAGAGATAGTATCCTCTAGAGGTGTGAGAGCCATTTCAGTTTAGAAAATGAGGCCAATGGGGACGTGTGTGTACTCTCCATGTGTCAATCTGTGGGTGTGTGTGTGTGTGTGTGTGTTTTCTGTCTGAGTGTGTGTGCGTGCGTGCCAATGTGAGGTTAGTCTCATTTTAGAAGCTGTATCCAGTGGGGACTGAGGGTGTATTCACCCCCTGCTCAGTCCATAGCTGCCCTGGCAGATGTAAACATCAAGTCAACACTGCTATTATACAGTAGGATCCAAGGTGACCAGAAGGTCAGTGAGGAGGAACCATGGCGCCAAGAGGTAAGAAACCTCTTCAATACTCTCTCTTCAAAACTATGTAGTGAGTGAGTAAATGAGTGATTTTCTTTGGCTCTGATAAACACTTGTATGTTATGGATGGTATGCTTACCAAGCATCTGTTTCATAATCCCTGGGATAAATATATGACTTTGGACAATAATTGGGTTTTAAATGTACATTTACTAACGAGCTATCATTACGAGAAACATCCATGATTATAGTTTGGTCATATTCCAAACTAGCTCTCACAAATCAGAATTAGACGTTCATCCATGTTTCCCAAATGTCAAATGTCGAAGCTGTTGCAAACTTGAAATATTTAAGAGTTTAAGGTTAAGTTCAAAATATTGAATTAACTCCAAATGGTTAAGGTAAGGGTTAAGGTTTGGGCTAGGCTTAAAACAAAAATCACAAAAACTTCATTTATACTTTATTTTTTAACCTTTGGAATTAGAGGCAGATGCTTACACCCATCGACAACACCCTCGGAAAACCAAAACCTACTTGAAGTTCACAGCGCTCACTGTTGCCCCTAGTGGCCGGTTTACACATAATCTTCCGACTTCCTCAGACATGGATGGACGTTGAATACTGACTTTTAGCAACTTTGAGGATTTGTGGGCTGTGTTTTATTTTGGTTGAACCCTTTAGAGTCGATCTAAGTAACATAAAAAAAAATCCTCTTCAAAATCCGTCAGTTTAAGATAGAGATATCTGTATCCACTGTATCTGGCGATGTTGCACTTCCTCATCTGCGATGTTTGTCAGACCATGAGGCATCCCGAATATCGGACTTCTCACAAAATTGTCTGTAGCGTCTGAACGGTTTGACCTACAAACTATTATGACCACTGTATGGAAAGGGGAGACTCTCGTTTTGCTCTACGAACCCCTACAAGTGTCACAGGACGTGTCTGAAGGTAACAGGTACCGGTTTAACAAAAAATAGTGGAAGTATGAAGGTCGTTTTGTGCCTACCCAAAAAAGGGCTTAAATATGTGTAATATATATATATATTAGGGCTGTCAAATGATTAAAATTTTTAATCAAATTAATCAGAATTTTCACTGGATTAATCATGATTAATCACTATTTGCAATTACACCTGAATCCTAACCATTTTTTTTCTGAAATGCATACCAAAAGATAAATAACAGGACACAGATACATAATTTTCATATTATGTCTGTTTATTAACACAGCCAAATAATGGTGTTTTAAATCAAGCTGAAACATACTACACACCATAATATTTGTCTTTGTAATGTTCCATCACTTCCTCTTTGGCATTCCTCTTAACCAGGATGTACAATTTACAGTATTCAATTGAACAGAAAGCAATAAATGTAGTCAAATCATAACAGTGACCTACCACATTTTTGCACAATTTGAGTCATCTGTGGAAAAAAACATTTTCAATAAAACTTTTAAATCAAACCAAAGAACAATCTTTTACCTTTTCCTCCATTCTTTAATCCAGTTGCTCAAAAATCCAGTTGCTAACTACTATAACATGTTTGCACTGAAACTGGTCTTTTTGTTTGAACATCACCTTTCAAATCTACTGAGCTTCATCATCTTTCAGCCAGTTGCTGAGGCAAACTAACTTGTTCACATTTTCTGAAAGTAAAGCTGACCTTTTCTTGTTCACAATGTGACCTGCAACTGAGAAAAGTCGTTCACAGGGAACAGTGGTTGCAGGAGTGGCTAGATATCAAATTATCTGAGGTTGATTTTGTTAATTGCCTGCAAAACATTCAGCGTGGTCTGGCGCAAACCACTTGCTGAATCTGACGGCCCAGCAAACGCATGTTTGGCGTTGACATGGTACTTCAAGCTTGAAACAGCTCCGGTGAAATTGAAACTCCTTCTTACAAATCTTGCAAATAACCTTGTACTTGTTAACTGTACCATCATCATTCTTTTTATATTTGAATCCGTCAATAGGCCCACTTTGCTCACCTTGCTCCATCTCGCCTCTAGCTCCCAACCACTTTCCTGACCTGAATAATTTGTCACACTGCGCATGCGTGAAATGCGTTAAAAAAATTGACGTAATTAACAGCAAACAACTAATTAACGTCGTTAACGCGCTATTTTTGACAGCCCTAATATATATATATATATATATATATATATATATATATATATATATATATATACATATCCTGAACTTTCTTATATCTCCTAGACATAGGACAAACACTTCAAAACCTTGTTTTTATTATTTATTTTTTGACTGTCTTTTCTGCCATTTATGAACGTGTTATTCAATGCGTTTCTCCGGCTATACTAGTGAAGGTGTGTGTGTGTGTGTGTGTGCGTGTGCGTGTGTGTGTGTGTGTGTGTTGAGGTGTTCTGATGTGTTCTGTCATGCAGCTTCAGGTCAGGTGGAGTCGTCCTGCAGGCTGTTTCCTGCTCTACTGATGGTGGCCTGGATCGTTGGCTGTGCGGTGGTCATCTACTTAGTCTTCGCCTAGGTATGCTGTGTCTGTGTCTGTGTGTGTGTGTCTGTGTCAGTGTCTGTGTGTGGTTGTCTGTGTATGTGTTGTGTATGTGTCTGTGTGTGTGTCTGTGTGTGTGTCTGTGTCTGTGTTGTGTATGGTGTCTGTGTGTGTTGTGTCTGTGTATGTGTCTGTGTGTATGTGTTGTGTCTGTGTGTGTCTGTGTATGTGTCTGTGTGTGTGTCTGTTGGTCTGTGTGTCGTGTACGTGTTGTGTCTTGTGTCTGTGTATGTGTCGTGGGGTGTCTGTGTTGTGTGTGTTGTCTGTGTTGTGTGTGTGTGTATGGTTGTGTTGTGTTGGTGTGTGTCTGTGTCTGTGTGTGTGTCTGTGTTGTGTGTGTTGTATGTGTCTGGTGTGTGTGTTGATGTGTTGTGTGTGTGTTGTGTCTGTGTGTGTATGTGTCTGTGTGTGGTTTGTGTTGTGTCTGTGTGCTGGATGGTGTTTGTGTCTGTGTCTTGTGTTGGTGTTGTGTGGGTTGGTCTGTTGTGTTGTGTCTGTGTGGTGTGTCTGGGTTGTGGTGTGGTTGTGTTGTGTATGTGTTGTGTCTGTGTTGTGTGTGTGTATGTGTCTGTGTTGTGTTGTGTGGTGTGTTGTGTTGTGTTGTGTATGTGTCTGTGTGTGGTTGTGTCTGTGTGGTGTGTGTGTGTGTTGTTGCTGTGTTGTGTATGGTGTCTGTGTTGTGTTGTGTGTGTGTGTGTGTGTTGTGTCTGTGTATGGTGTCTGTGTCTGTGTCTGTGTCTGTGTGTTGTGTTGTGGTTGTGTTGTGTATGTGTCTGTGTTGTGTGTCTGTGTTGTGTCTGTGTTGTGTGTCTGTTGTATGTGTCTGTGTTTGTGTCTGTGTGTGTGTTGTGTCTGTGTGTGTGTGTTGTGTGGTGTGTGTCTGTGTTGTGTAGTGTGGTTGTGTCATGTGTGTTGGTGTATGTGTATGTGTGTTGTGTCTGTGGTTGTGTATGTGTATGTGTCTGTGTGTGTGGGTCTGTGTCTGTGGTTGTGGGTAGTGTCTGGGTGTGTGTGTGTGGTTGGTGGTATGGTGTCTGTTGTGTTGTGTTGTGTATGGTTGTGTGTGTGTCTGTGTGGTGTTGTGTTGTGTATTGTGTGTGTACTGTGTCGGTTGGTCTGTAGTGTATGGTATGGTATGTAGTGTGGGTATGGTTATGTGTACAGTGTCGTAGTTAGGTTGGGATTGGTGTTGGGTACAGTTGGGTTGGTGTAGGGTTAGTTAGGTTAGGGTCAGTTAGGTGTAGGTCGTGGTGGTCTGGTATGGTTGTGGTGTTGTTGGTCTAGTAGTGTGTTGTCTGTTGTGGTAGTTGTGTTGTGTGTGTGTACAGTTGTGTTGGGGGTGTACGGTGGGTAGGGTGTAGGTACAAAGTCCCACAAGAAAAGTAACCAAGAAAAATGTCATTCAAACTGGGGACATTTTGTTTGTCCCCACAAGGTCACATGCTTATCTCTAGGGGGTTTAGGGTTTTAAAATTAGGGTTAGGGGTACATGGTTTAGGGTTAGGGTTCGGGTTAGGGTTAGGGTTTTAGGGGTTACCAGGTTAGGGGTTTAGGGTTCGGGTACCAGGTTAGGGGTTAGGGTTTAGGGTACAGGTTAGGGTTAGGGTTAGGGTACAGGTTAGGGTTAGGGTCTAGGGTACAGGTTAGGGTTAGGGTTAGGGTACAGGTTAGGGTTAGGGTTAGGGTACAGGTTAGGGTTAGGGTTAGGGTACAGGTTAGGGTTAGGGTTAGGGTACAGGTTAGGGTTAGGGTTAGGGTACAGGTTAGGGTTAGGGTTAGGGTTAGGGTAAGGGTTAGGGTTAGGGTTAGGGTTAGGGTACAGGTTAGGGTTAGGGTTAGGGTACAGGTTAGGGTTAGGGTTAGGGTACAGGTTAGGGTTAGGGTTAGGGTACAGGTTAGGGTTAGGGTTAGGGTAAGGGTTAGGGTTAGGG